TGCTATCTCACGTAATTTAATTTTTGGATCATATAACACAACATTGTGAATTTTTTCAATATTTTTTCAAGTTGTGATCTCGTTTGAACGACCCAGACGTTTTCTTATCAAAAACAACGATGTTAACGATGGTGCAAGGTTGCCGTAAACAGAACCCATTTCCAATTTGATTGCATAATTGTTCATTTCTTTCAAGTAGAGAAATTTTATTATTTTAAATAAGATATATACTTTTCCAACTTAAGAAACTTTCACGTCCTCATAAATCCATGGTTTGTATCCTTACTTTTCACTGTCTTTTTGCAAATTGATTGCTTTGTTGTGTGTGGTTTCATCTAAGCCTTCATCGACGTCGTCTTTATTCTGTTAGTAATATCCTGATAATCAGCTTTGAAATAACTATTGCGTTAGTTTGTGTTTGAAAGATTCTGTATTTTTTTTCACATTCCCTGATCTTTTTAGCAAATCTCAAAAAAATATTGATTGCAAATGGTGTCTGAATTTCAATAATATTTTTTAATAATATTTGTAAAAATCTAAAAATTAGTGTTATATTTGCTAAGTAATGAAAAACTATTTCAATTTCAAGCACGATATCTGTTAAGTCAATTGGGTACTCTTATACTTGTATTTAATTATTGCATTCAATTTGTTATTTGCTTTTGCTATTGTTAATAATATTTTTTAAGAATAAATCAGTGGTACGTGAACCTTTCAACCAAAAGGTGCATTTGAATTTTATTCTCTTTACATAAAAATAAATTAAATAGTTTTCGAACAATATCAATAAATATATTTAAACCGAAAATGAGCTTTTAAATAAGGCTTATGTTAAAGTAAGTAAGAAGTAATAAAAATTACTATTAAATTTAATATTAAGTTCAATTAAAAAAAATATTTCGCTATAAATTTTAAAAGCAAAACGCATTTTTTTATTTTAGTGATGCCTTTCAGTTTCTCTTGGGTTACTTGTCAGGCAGTCTGACATCCTTTGAGTTCTGATTGCGCCTCTATGTCCGCCTATGCCCTTTAACCGCAATCTCACTTAGTGTTCTGGCAGTCTTTTATTTTTGTTTCAAACGTTGTGGCAACTTGAAAGACAGAACCAAGTCAATTGCTGTTGAAGTAGCTTCCTTCCGCAACGCTACGTTACGAACGCAGCGCAGAATTGTCACTAAAACTGTTCCAGTTTCAACTGTCGAGATAACTTTCAGTGTTCCTCGACTTTGTTTTCGTTTACTTGATTTTAATTTAAATAAAAGATAGAAGTTTCTTTGTTAAATATTTGAATTTAAATATAGTTTTAAACGTTTTAATATTTCTGAAGGATGTTAGGTATACAGTGCATTGAGTTTGGAAATGTACCCTCAATGTTAAGAAAATGGATAGTTATATTGTTCACAAAAATTAAGTTCCAAACTGGAATACCTTTTAAATATTTTTATTTACGATAATTTATTTCGTCTAAAACATTAACTTTTATAAGAATTTAATTCAAATGTTTGAGCTCTCCATGATCTAAAAATGAAGTATATATTTCTCATTCTCGATTAAAGTGTTTTTTACTTTTTTACTATATTAAAAGTTAATTAATATATAATAAATTCAATTCTTAGTTAAGTTTGATATTGAGTTTAAATAAGTTGATGGTATGGTTGCTGCTTAACGTAGCAAATATGTAGGTGAACAAACCTGTAGTATACGAGTTCAGCACTGTAGGTAATATAAATAAGTATAATATATAGGTGCTTTCAAAGCACCTTTTTTACATGTTTTTAAAAGATTATTCACAGAGTAACGTCCGTTTTCAAAAGCGATTGTGAATAGTAGCGATCAAAATCTTTGTCAATCACTGCGATTTATTAGGGCTTGATTCCGTTTGGAAGTACAATATAGGCCGTGTGCGAGTTTAATTAAATTGATGGTAAATCGAGGAAAATCGTAAATTATATCAGTATGGCAGGGAATGTTGGTAACATATTTACCAGAATTTCGAGTAGGGTAAATTAGATAAAAATTAGGCAAATTAGGTGTTACCATTGTAAAAAATTTTATAAGATAAGATTAAAATAAATAAATAAATAAATTTAAAAACTTTTAACCAAAAATAATAAATAAGTGCAATAAATAAAAAAAAAATATTTAGGGAATTTATTTTAACTTACTCTACCTCAATTTACTCGATCTCGCACACGGCCATAATAATATTATAACCCTGTTAAATCTAACTCGGGATTTTCAGTGAATAGATTTGTTGACACCAGTTTTACATTCGAAACAAAACCTTTTTTTCGAAGTTATGTGTTCTATCAACAAAATCTATCAACAAAAATTTTTTGTTTAAAGATTGCTATTCTAAGAGAATTAAAAATAATGTCTAATAAGTTTAAAATGTCTTAATATTGCAAAAAAAAATTTTTCTTTTGATTAAAACCAATTAGCGAAAAGTATGCTTTCCGGTAATATTTTTTTTGGGTACGAAATTTGACAGTTTAAACGAAATAAAACATATGTTGTTTACGGTTTCACGAATAATCTCATTAATTTTTACTGTAAAATTGCAAAATTTCGTATCAGGGTAAAAAAATGTTTAGTTCAAAAGTCACGCCATCTCTTAAAAAATTCAAAGAACTACCATTATTTCTTGTATAATTACTTTGGTCGTTTTATGGAAAAAAGCATTTGCCTTACGTTTGTCTTTGCACTTGAAAATTTGAAAAATTTGAATTAAATAAAAAGTACTAGGGGCTTAATATCCAGTATCCGCGCTTCAGTGTCCATTAGAGTTAAAACAATTCATTTCTGATTTATCAACGCATCGTCAAATTTTCAACCTATTATTTTTGTTCCTCTATCAACAGCTCTGTTAATATCTACAATCTTACGGTAGCTCAGCATGTCATGGGTTTTACATGTTTTATTACCACCTGGGGTCTACTAGTAGTCGCAGCCGCACATCGAAATTTTAAGGCATCTTCATTGTGTGATCATAAATATCTCCATGACAACAAATTAGCATAATATGTTATCATTACTACTATCTCATTACAAAAACTTCTTTATAACACTTCCAACATGACCCAAGTACAGTAAATTATTGTAAGAGTTCTTAAGAAAAAAATTTATAAAAAAAAAATATGATAGATAATCAAGCACTGCAGTGAATTAAGTAAAGTTTGTTGTATATGCAGCAAGATTTAGCACTCTTTGACTTTTAGCTCTCACATCTAAAAATATTCTTTTGAGGGAAAATGATTTTCATCAGGTGACGAGGTAAAAGCTGGCATGGAGTTTAATCGGCAGACCTTCCTAGAAATATGAACAGAGATGGGATCAATACATTAGAAGAGCGTTGAAATCTGTTTGTTGAAGTTTTGGCAGAATATATTGAGATTGTATCTTTGAGTTATTTGAATCGAATTCATATATCTACTGTAGACTACGAATGTCAAAAAGTGGAGAAATACTAACTGTAACGTTTGCTAATGATACTGAACTTTTATCAACAAACCATGACATCACGAAAGCAACTGCAAACCTTCAAAATCATCTGAACGAAGTGACGCATTGGTCTGACACCTGGGGGATTAAGATAAACGCCGAAAAAACTGTCTCAAGTTATTTTCATCAACAGCAAATTTGAAGAACAGAAACTGAAAATTGTAAACATTGATATATAATACCAAGAAAGCCAAATACTTGGGCATGCTTTTAGGTCAAAAGCTGACTTGGAAGGAGCACATAATATAGAAGAAAAAGGAAGCTAATCGAAGATTTGCAGATTTATATTGGCTTGGTAAAAAATTCCAGTCTGTTAATTGATAACAAACAACTAATTTACAAAACTTTTATTGTTCTGATTTGGAAATATGTATTTCAAATATGGATAACCTCCTGTAAGACAAATATAAATACTATGCAGAGGCTGCAATCAAAAATCCCGTAAACAATAGTAGATGCTAGATGGTACATCACAAACGACGATATTCACAAAGACCACAAAATGCCTACTATACATGAAAAAATTAAAAAAAGCTGTGCTAATCATATACTAAATTGCTGCAGCACACAAATTTGGAAATGACAAGACTCCCTGCCTTGGAACTAGAGTACAAAAAACATCTAAAATGTACACTTCCAACCCACTTAAGTATTAGGTATTAAATTAAGTTGAATTCTTTTCTTTACAAAAAAAAATAATTTATGTATTGAAATTGTATGAAATGTATTGAAATTATCATTAACATGTTATCTTAAATGATGATTTAAGATGACTCAAATCTCCACAGTTCATTTGTTAAAAGTGATACTAAATATTTATGATAGCTATAATGCGAGGGCGATTTGAGAAGTCAGTGACTTTTTGAATAAAACAAATTTTCGGCAAATAAACATTTTATTTTTCTACATAATCACCTTTTAGATCGATACATTTAGTCCAGCGTTTTTCTAATTTTCTTATTCCATTCAAATAATAGGTTTTCTCAAAGCCCTCAAAAATCTCTTACCGCCCAGCCATTTCTTTAGGTTTGGAAACAGAATATAGTCACAGGGGGCTTAATCTGGAGAATATGCTGGTTGGGGTAGCAGTTCGTATTCCAATTCGTAGATTTGGGATCGTAATGCTTAATCAGCATACAGAATTCACTTTTTTCCATTTTCGTAAAAATTCACGAAGTTGCCTGCTTTGAACGGCTATCAAACACCAACTGAACGACGTAGCTTGCTCAAAATTAAAAAGTTGACCATTGGTAGATTACAGCTGATGGCAGCACTGTTGCATTTAGAGTAAATGCGCGGGAAATTCAAAAAGTCACTGACTTATTTGATTGATTAATACGCCCTCGTATTAATGGAATAATAAAAAAAAAATGTGTTAAATATATAGTAATAAGAAATAGAGAAAATGTAATATATTAATGATATGTCTTTAACAATCTATACCTTATCCTATAATACTAGTTTAAAAGGCGTACCTAATGGAATTTTTTTGTTTTTAGAAATCTTTGGAAAAATGGAAACATTGCATTGTACCTATAAATAATAAACTTACTGTTAGATTATTATGTATGCATCATGCGTACAAAAATAAATTTTGGGTTGTGAATGAAAGCAGCTACTGTGATTTGATTGAATTGGAACTAAATATGGCAAAAAAGGTTTTCATCCCGCTGGAAGAAGAAGCAATTGAATCGTCTAATGGTGAGCTTATAGCCACACGAATAAATAATCGTTTTCATAGATCAGTCATAAAACGGATTGAAACAAGAAAAAAATTATTGCAAGTTTACTTAATAGATTGGGGTGCGCGAAAAACTGTTGAGTATTTTCAGGTTTTTGAAGCTCAAAATTTCATGGAGAATTTCTACGCTTTCAGCTTTTTAATGGAATTGAGTGAAACTTTACCATTTGTACATCATATGCTTTTAAAAATAAAACTTTTAAGAAAACGTTCTAACGATAATTGCGTAATAGCCCATTTATTAGCAATACCTCCCCAGCCGGAGATGATACCATCAGAGCGGTCTGGACCAATTGAGGTGAAACCGTACAGAATCATGAATGGTGGAACATGCGGACTTTTTAATCTACGTGGTAATCAATTATCTAAAACGTTTTATTGGAATTTTCGTGTTGACTTTTCTGTAAATGATCGTTATAAGTCGCAACATGAATGCGGTTCAATTGTTTTGGTTCATGTTAGAGGACTATGCTGGTCACGCGCTCGCATTATTAGTACGATTTATAAGTCGGGTCAATATCTTGTATATTTAATTGATGACGGTGTTATTATGGTTGTTAAATCTTTGAAAATGGCAAATGAAAATGAAGCAAAATATCCGGCGAAGAAAATATATATTTTAACTGCAGATAAAGAACCGACGTTTGCAAATCTTAGTGAAAACGACAAAATTTTTGTTGTGGCATTGAATTTGGCATGGGAGAATAACATTATACCCTGCGTGATGCTAATCAATGGTAATTTGAAAATTAAAGTGTTTGTAACCGAACTTCCAGTTTTGGAGCAAAGTTCTTGGATTGAACCCATACGCGAGAATGAAGTGGTAACTATTTCTCACGTGGAGACAATAAGTAAGGTCTGCGTAACAGCTTATTACTCGCACTGGTACAGTGATATTCTCAATACAATCGAGCATAACCTAACTGTTTTTAATGAACACGAAACTATTTCAGTTGGAGATCACTTATTAGTTATGAGGTATGAGAAAACGTTTTCATTCCGAGGAAAGGTGAGTTATTTGTGTTTGAAGAATGTTTTATTTTATTCCCACGCTTTTGTTTGTTTTATTTTTAGGTTGCATCAATAAATTTAGAAAGTAATACATATAATATTTTTGCCATTGATTTTGGATACATTGTTGAAAATATCGAAAGAACGCACTTACGAAAAACTAACTTAATTATAAGTCTTTTCCCATTATCTCAAAAGAAAGTGGTGTTAAGTAAAATCTTCAAAGTTGAAACAGAAAATAGTCAAATTATTGTTGAAGAGAGTAAAGCACTTCAACAATTGAAAAAACTTTCGTCAAAGCATATGCTATATAATATTCACTATTGTGACATTCGGGATGACATGCAACTAGTAGATATCAGACAACGGCATACCGTCGCTTCAGTAATAGGCAATCTTATTCCATTTCTGTCCGTAAAAGAAGAAGATAACGTTTTCGAGTATCATACGTTTTATCGTTGTTATATTCCTATGGACACAATAGTAAGACTTTATATAGTTAATGCTTCTACATTTCTGGATGGATATATATTTGCCTCCTACTACCGCAATGATAATGGAAGGGATGATGTTGAACGCATCCAGAACTACTGTAACACGTTGGAACGATCGCATGAAATGAAAAATAAGTAAAGTTTAAAATTATTAAGCTAATTTTATACATTACTTTATTAATGTATAAAAATTTATGTTTTTGCAGTTTGTTAATGCAAGTATGCTGCGTTTATAATTCTGCAAAAGATGCATGGGAGAGAGCTTTGTTTATGAAATATTCAAATGATACGGCAACCGTTATTAATATAGACGATCATACAGTTCGCGAGGTAAAAGCATATGACATTCTACCATACTATAAGAGCTTATCGCAGTTATTGAATACTTGTCAATTTTTCATAAAAGGTTAGCTTGCATTGCAATATATGTTACTTTTATTATTTTAATTATAAAATATTTTATTTTTGTTTAGACTTTTCAAATTTAAATGAGGATACACGCTTGAAAGTTATGAACAAATTAAAATCGCTAAGTTATATTGACGTTTTCGTTTTGTTTGGTGATGGAATTGTGCCTCTAATAGGAAAAAGAATTTTTCATATTATATTAAATTATGCCGAACTTTTAGATTCTGAAGGTGATCAAAATCAAAATAATTCCAAACCATGTAAATAATATATATAGAAACCTTTCTATATTGAGATTCCTATACCTATGAAATTTATGAAGAATAAAAAAATAACAAAAATTTAAGTCTACTTTTTTATTTCGATAATCCAGAAACTGACAACTTGACTTTTTTATTACATCATATTTAAATATAACATATTGTTGTGTTTGTTAAAGGTGATATATGTTATGTATATTATTTTCAAATGAGATAGTTTTTAGATCATAAAAACAAATTTTGATTTATCTGAAATGAGCGGCGCCAATTGGAGGGAGGCCAATTAGTTATAAATGACAACTAGGTATTAACACTTTGACTTTGACGAATTTTACTGTTATATAGATCTTTACAACACATAGTCTGTATTTTGTTGTCTTATTATCTTGTATGCCATCAATTACCTAGTATCGGATTGGTACTACCTCTTTAAATACAGGTCACATAAAAGAAATGTGCAAAAATAAGGCATAAATTCATTATTAACTCACATTGGAAAGTGTCTTTGAGACAAAACTTAATCAAATTACTTAACATGTTTTTTTTAACAATTTAAGATAACTAGAATATCTTGGATTTAAAAAAGAATATTGTATATCAGTATATCAGCAACGATTCCTAAATTAAACAGATTTCTTTCCAATAACAACTAATGCAAGACAACATTAGACATACGACAAGAGATTTTGTTTATTTAAGATATAAAAATAAAGATATATGTATGTATATATGTAGTAGGAGGAAGATTGTCTTGGGACACCATTGGGTTGGTGACGACTTGGCAGGAAACCTCAAGCTAAATGAACTGCTTGCATTAACAAAAGATGTAGTTATGCGAACGGAAGCCACTCCAGCTTCAACTCAATAACAACATCCGAGAATCGAAGGACGAAAAAGGACCCAAGTCGTTTCGTGGTCTACTTCGACTAATCCTACACTTCACTGGGGCCACTTGTTGGACAGTACGCTGTCCCAACATCCAACCATATATATATGTATATATGTATCTTTATATAAATAAACAATCACAGCTGCCAGTTTTTCATGAGGTCTCGTGCAAATATTGGCGTTAACCCAAGTCATTGCCTGTAGACATTGCCTTGGGGTGATGCAGTTGCTTTAAAATTAATATGACGTGAAAGGCGTTGTTTATGTTCTTTGGTAAATTATTTAGCTATATTGGAATTGGGTAAATATATTGCAGAATGGAGCATAAACTACTTGTTGTAAGCCTCTGTTTTGGTAGAGCCGAATATATACATATTGCTAAAATTGGCCAACAACAATAAAACATCAAACATTATTCCAAGAAAAGTCCTATTATAAACAGTTTTAAATAATATTGTAATTGTTTTTTTTAAGAGGAAAATGTTGGCAACTGATTACTTTATATCAGTGAAAAAAGGGGTATGTTTTATTGTTTTAAAACTAATAAAACTATATTGCCGTATTGTATTCCTTCATAGTGGAATATGACATCTCATCTCATGAATCTAAACTAATTACTAATTTTAAATAAAGGGTACATTCAATGTAATATTTTTATTACATTCAATGTAAGCTATAAAAATGGTGTAGATGTGACATTTTATATATAAGTATACGAGTTAAGTAAAAAAAATTGTAGGGTTTGCGTATACTATTTTATATAAAAATTATTTTTGATGTGTTAAGGCGTAGCCTGACATACATGTAATATATGTTTTCAAGAGCCTTTAATACCTGTTTCACTGTATAAGAAACGTCTTGGGATATTTAATGTAAGTTTTCCACAGTTGTATGACGAAGAAAAAAAGTTGACTTCTGAAATGATTGATGATGGCGAAAAGTTCTATATATTCTAGATTAAAAAAAATACTTTTCAAAAGCGAAGTAGATGAACTACTTTTTGCGTGAATTGTTTTTAATTTTCCAGATTGCACGTCAAGCATCACACGCAATTTTTTCACTTTTCAATGTATGATTAATTAAAATTTTTAATAAAAATACGAATGATAGCACATATATTTTTAGATATTCTCAAATATTTTAAAATTTTTTACTAGCAAATACTAGGTTTGTTGGTCCCATTAAATTGCGCTAAGTACGGTTGTGGTTAAAAAATAACATATACTTTATAAAGTATGTAGGCAGGTGGATATTATCAGATTGGGTATAAACTAAATAAAATAAAAAACTTTTAAAAATTTAAGATAATTATTCAGATACTGTTCTGTTTAGATCTTATAATAGCTGTATTCTGTCATTTCAGATGGAAGCTAAAATCAACAAGTTCCATACCAAAGCCTCTTGTTGATATGTATTGTTGATACATTATATTATGTTTTCAACTAATATGTTTTGAGATATCACAGGTTTGATTAATTATAAAAATATATAAATATATAAATGTACAAATGTAGAAATAATTGGAGTTTTTGATAAAATTTCCGAGTAATATTCTGAATAAAAGCGATTTGGTACCATTTAAGTTGTGGTCTCTTAGATGATCAGCGACTTTATAACTCCTCCCATATAGCAACACACTTGTGTTGTTTATTTGTAGTGACAAAATATAGGTTATTTAGAAAATGATGCTAAGTTGGGAGAGCAAATCTTAAATAGCACAGTATATTAAAGAATATTTATTAGCATTAGTATCATACCAAGTACATCTCTATCAGGCTTAACGTTCCGGATAACGACAATCTAGTTTAAAGGCCCACTTCCAATTCCGATCATAGTTTAGTTAGAGGCTAACTAAAACAAAACACATTTATTTTTCCTTTTTTAATTAAATATTTAAATTAGATGTAATATAATCGAATTGTGTTCAATTAGTTATAATACCCAATAGGTCCGTCAAATTGAAGAATATTGAGGCAATGCTCAGCACTGACATCGAACACAACACATATCGATAGAAAAAAATTAAAAATAAAGTTAAAAGTATCTTTAAAATCATATAAATTTGATTTATAATGAATACTCCCAACATTAATGCTAGTATAGGCTGCTTTGAAAATTATGAAAACTGGCTTTGATCTAGCGGATAGATTAAAAAACTACATTAAGCGTTAAGGTGCATTAATAAGTTCGTTCATATAAGTAGTAGAAAATCAAATATGCCAAAATTTTTCTAGCAACACTACAGTATTAAAGGTGATTTAATTTATATTGTATTAATTGCGAAAGGAAGCTCGTGTTTATGGTCGCAGTGTGGCAAGGAAGTGTGATTGAGGTTGGATACTTATGGAAATGATGTCATTAAAATGATAATTCAATGCAGTTCTATTGACATGCCATGCCATAGATGATGAGGTTTTTCTCTAGGTTTTTAGAACGACCGTCTTCTAATGTTTCTTGTTGAATCTTTTTCTTGAAGCTTAAATCCCTTTTTGGTACAACGAGAGCTAAATACGTAAAGGTGCGTGATCATGGGTAAGTTTGCATAGTACTAACATAGAAGTCACAAGGTATTCGTTATACTTCGTACAAGACCATGCATTTTCTGAAATACTTATAATTGGCTTGTTGCATTACTTGTAACAATCAAGTAAAGGTCCTTCTAAAGAGATACGTCTACTTGAGATTAGTATCACCCGAAACTTGTATGACTGTCAAGAACAATATTACTTGATAAGAAAAGTGGTTGTTTTTTCTTTTATTACTAAACTTTTTTTCGTCGGAATACCATGAAACAACCAGTGACTGCTCTCCCTCAGTCATCCGGATCAGCAATTTGATGTCACTAGATCATCATATCGAGTGTCTTTAAATTATATGTTCTTTGGTCCCACCATTGAAAATTCGGATCTTCCCTAATGTAGTTTTTATCTGCAGCTAACAAATCAACCTAATTTTTAACTCATAGTCAACGCGCACGGGATCATAGATCTTTCAAAGAATGGTGACCTCTCAAATCCTCATCCCTAATTCTTACTGATCGCTGTTGGTTATTATCTAAGCTTTTACTCAATACATCGGTTATAAATTGATACGATAGCCTAAAATTTTTAATACAAATACAAAACCATTTTTGATTATAAATTAAAAATTTATTTCTGTTAAAATTTCAATTGATATTTGAAATTAATTTTAATTTTACACGGAAAGTTACACTTTCCTTGGCAGGGCATGAGTTTAACACTTGGTACTTGTAATCTCTATTAAACCTCTCTATTAAAAACAATAGTCTTTTTTAAATAAAAAATAGTAATTTCTTCATAAATCACGTTAAAAATCAAATGTATTTATTCTGGATATCACTTTTTAATTTTTTAAAGAAAATAATGGAGATTCGTATCATTTTAATCCATATTGTAAGAGTTTATTTCATGAATTTGAGAAATCTCTCCTTCAAAATCGACCTTAATGCCAAAATATAAAGCAGTTTTTTTTGTTTGTAAATACTTCATTTCAAAAATCCCAGTGATTTCTTCGTCTTCCTTAACTGTTATAAAATCATCTAAGTAAAAAACACATTGTTTCCAATGTGTGTCGTCTGTCCAAGGTGAAGTGCTAAACTTAATTGGAGAAAAGCACTTACTAAACTCTATGTCAAAATAAGTAACAAAAGCGTGAACATAGTCATTACGCTGTACTTTCAATTGAAATTTTGAAGCAAATTCTAAATCGGACTTTTGTATTTTATAGAGATCCACTTCTTTTATTAGGCATGAGTTTGTAACTAAATGATTTGCATAGACAATAGAAATAGACGGCTCCTTGATTACGGCCTTACGCACACAACTCATATCAAAATCATATACCTTATTCCACCAATTAATCTTAAAAGCTTTGCTATTAAAAGCCTCAATTGCGGTTATATACAGCCTTCCAATATCTGGAAAAATGAGACCATGGGGCTTCAACCACTTATCACGTGCATACAATACTTTATCCAATATAGACAGATGAAATAAGTTGTAGCTAAAAAAAAATATGTTTAATATAAGTTTTAATCAACTATCATTTTGTTATTTATATGCATATAAGTAATATTGCAAATTATTTGCACGTAAGTAGAACTATTCACTACACGTTCTTTATATACAAGGATATTTAATGCAACACTACAGCACTTCTCATTAAATATCATAAACTATAAGTATACTTATATTCTGTATTGGTCAGATGTAGTATTTGTAATGTTTTTAGATATTAATAAAAAAAAAACTTGAACATTCACACACTTTGTTTTTGCTTTCTACGAGTTTGTCTTACCTAAACCATTCTGAAATAATTATATCAACTTTTTCCACACCCAGCTCAATTTCTTCAATTTCACCTTGGATTAAATCAATATGAAAAGACATTTCATTATCTTCAAACACTTTTTTTGTCAACTCTAGTATGTTGGAGTTATCAATTGCAATAACCCTTGCGGCGCCTGCTTTAATTGCAAACATCGATAATATTCCAGTTCCACAACCAACATCCAAAACAACCTAAGAATCCAAGTGACAAATGGTTAAAAATTTTTATATACGCTATTAGTTTTATAAGATGACCTTATTCTTGAAAAGTTGCTTGTTGTTATACATAGCCGTACGAAATGCGACAATTTGAGCTCTATCCTTAAGTTTCTCTTCATGAGTTCCATAGTATGCAAACATATCAGTATAAAAATCCTGAGACGTCATGTCTTCTAATCTAATACGAGATTTCTTTTTAGCCTCGTTGTCGCAATCAGCAGCAGTAGCAATGCCATTTCCAGTTTGCATGGGATTATCACTCTATAGGCACAAATATATAAGTACATTATACCATATATTGTTTCAAACTATTAATTCCTTACCATCTTCAAATCAATAAATTAGCACGAATATTCACGATTGTTGAATCATATAAAAATTACTTTATTAATTTGATAGTTAATGTCTACAGGAATAATATATATTTTCGATAATTATCAAAAATAATCGGTTATGGTATATAATGTAAATTACGATGGCATTTAAAAAATGTTGCTTAGACTGTCAATCTAAATAAAAAATTCTGAATGATTGTATAAATGCATGTAAATTTTGCAGAAGACTGGTTAATGGACTACTACAAAATATCAGTTTAGATCAGGGTGACTTACCCAACTAACATAGTTTTCCACCATGTGCAGTATATCGTAAGAGAACTTTTTTTTCATCGGAATGCCATGGTTAAATGACTGGTCTCCGTTAGTCATCCGGATCAGCAGTTATCGAATGTCTTCAAATTATATGTTCTTTGGTCCCACCATTGAAAATTCGGATGTTCTCTATTGCAGTTTTTATCAGCAGCTACCAAATCAATCAATTTTTTAACTCATAATAAACGCGCACGGGATCATAGATCTTTCAAAGAATGGTAACCTCTCAAATCCTCCTAATGCTTACTGATCACTGTTGGTTATTATCCAAGCTTTTACTCAATACATCGGTTATAAATTGTTACGATAGCCTAAAATTTTTAATACAAATGCTATGTGAATAATAAATAATTAGTAGAAACTCGCAGCTTAAAGGAAAGAAATATTATCGCGTGCCAATAGGAATATAAGTCGAATTTCTGTTTTAAATATGAATCCATTTTGATGTTAGGGAAAGTCTCTTTTTTCAAACCAAATATTTAAGTTTTTCTTTCTTATGTTGTTTTTTTGTGTAAATGCCAGTCGCTGGCAAACGGTATTCAAACGATAGTGCACTGCTTTAAAAAAGCTGGATTTGGTCAACTTTTTATATGGAACGAACAGGAGGACATTCCTTTAATTTTCTTGAATAGCATTGATGAAGACTGTGAATTGATGTAAAAGTAAAGTAAAAGCAAAGTAAATACAATAACTTCCAACTTCCACTTTTAACGATTATATAGATCTCGACAATGAAATTTGTACATTAAGCTTTGATACAGATGACGATAATATTGATCATTATAGTTCTTCTCATTGTAGTGGATCCGATTCTAAGCGTAACGGAAAGTACTGATGAGGGCTCTGGGGATGAAATTGTTCATCATTCTTCCAAGAATGAAGTAGAAGAGTCATTCAAAATTCTGAATTTTTATTTGCAAACGAATTTTTTTTTTTTTTTTTTTTTATTATAAATTGTTTTATTATATATGGTATTAAATAACAATAAATAAAACAAAACAAGACATAAAGCAACTAGTTATTAGATAACTAACAAGCAATTTAAATTTAAACAGATTAGGCGATTCCACGCAATAATAAATTAATTGTACTACATTTCAATGATTTAAGCCCAAAGATCGCACGGCTTTTGGCGCTTTAGACGGCGTATTGGCTCAGTTGTCGCTAGTAAATGCGCCTCAGCATTTATGTGACAACTAAGTCTATCTTGGTGTGATTTGGCTTTGGTATGAATTTCTTCCTGTACTGTTGACACTCCGAGGTCACGATGTAAGTCAGAATTTCTCACGTACCATGGTGCGTTTGTTACACTCCGTAGCATGAAATTTTGGAATCTTTGAATGATGGAAATTTGTGTTTTGCTTGCGCAACCCCATAGCTGTATTCCATATGTCCAGATTGGCTGGAGCATTTGTTTGTATAATACAAGTTTATTGAAAAGCGATAGTTTTGATTTTTTACCGATTAACCATTTCAACGATTTGAATTTAAGATCTAATTCACTTCTTTTCTTTTTTATGTGCTCGCTCCATCTTAGTTTAGCGTCCAAAGTCATACCCAAGTATTTCGCAGTATTCGCGTGAGGGATTTGTGCTGCATCGATATAAACAGGTATATAACTAACGCTTCGATTTTTGAAATTTACATGCACTGATTTTTCTTTATTAAAATTGATTTTCCATTTCCTTGTCCAAGCAATTATACTGTCCATACTATTTTGCAAACTATTAGCTGCTATTTCAGCGCTTTCTCCAACTGCAAGGACTGCAGTATCATCAGCAAAAGTTGCTGTGAACGTCGTTGCACTCGTTGGCAAGTCGTGTGTATAAATAAGATATAAGAGAGGACCCAAGATACTACCTTGCGGAACTCCAGCGTTAATTTTATGCAATTTGCTATAGTCATCACCGTGCTTTACTCGAAAGTAACGATCAGATAAGTAAGAGGAGATTACGTCATAATACTCCGTTGGGAGAATATTTCTACTTTGGTAAGCAATCCGGAGTGCCAGACTTTATCGAAAGCCTGCGAGACATCTAAAAACACAGCTGAGCAGATTTTTTTTTCCTCAAGAGCTTTTTCTATTACATTGGTAATCCTATGGACTTGATCTATAGTGGAGTGATTGCACCTAAAACCAAACTGATGTAAAGGTATTATGTTTTGACTTTCAATCAGAGAAAGGATTCTTTTCAGTAAGACTTTTTCAAATATTTTTGAAAGTACAGGCAGAAGTGCTATTGGTCTGTAACCACTTACGTCATTAATATCCTTTCCTGGCTTATGTACCATGATAATTTTAGATACTTTCCACAGGGAAAGTAGTTTTTTTATTTTATTTCAAAAATAAAAAAACACAAAAAAATTCTATAACCCGAAGTCTCCATAAGTCGAACCTTTTCTTTGTCAAATGGTACTTCGAGTTATGGAAGTTTGACTGTATCTGATATTGTTAAATTATTATATATATATCACTTTCAATATTTTCCTTTTGTTTTTCATTTCTAAATAATATTTTATTTGTCGTTTATTAAGCAATTTCAATCTTAGCTTCCTCTCTTGAGATTCTGTTTATCGTTTCTCCTGCTTCAAACGTGTCGGTATAATTCTGTTTATAATTCGATGCAATTATTTTCACCATTACCTTCAGTGTATAGTAGACACATGTCAGATATTTTAATTGTAAATAATGTTGGACCATAAAATATGCATTTCAGTAGCAAGAATAACAAGCATAAGAATTTTATCAGTGCATAAAAATTGTTTAAATAAATTTCATTTTAACCATCACAATTTCGTTGTGCTGATGTGAAATATTCTTCAAAAATATGTGAACTCATACGAGTATGTACGTGTGGTTGGCATGCATACGAGTATTTGAAAAAATTGATACTATTGGCAGATCGTATATATACGAGTATATGTGGCTTTAAACAGGAGCATTATATCCTCTTTCAGTTATGCAAATAGCAATTTTGCAACAGTCCTTTTGCACATTTATGCAAAAATACATGCAGTTTTCGCGCCGGTATGCGTTTCGGTTGCAGCGAGCACAAAACTTCTGATGGAATGTGGCAAATTTGAGGTTTGGCATTAATAAGTGCATATTTATTTACTACTACGTTACGAGCATAAACTTCATATGCACAATGCAAGTATGCACACAAGCTGCACTCTTACGGTAGCAATATTTTATTTGGCATGTTTAAAATATTTTTTATCTTCAGTATTTCAGTATTTTTAGAATATTTTACGTATGCAAAATGTACTGTTGCAACATAAAGTATTTCACTTGCTTCTTATTGTGCAATGTGTTGGCATAAATATTTTGCACATTTATTTCTATCATTTGAAATATTACAATTTTATTTTACTATTGATGTTGGGGGTTCATTCTGTTTTATCTGAGTATATTCTGCTTTGTAAAAGCATGAAATAAAAATTGTTTGCATTTAGGATATTTGTGAATCATAGAGCCACGAAAATCGATTGCAATTATAAATCCAGTTCATTACAATGTATGATTAGCACTAAATATTTCAGAGTACCGAAATATTCTCTATTATAGATTTTTAAACTACATCTAAAGGTTTAAGTACCACTTTTCAAAGTTCAATGAAATTATATTTACCTAATTATTTGAGAGCTTAAGAGTATATATGCTGAGTATGACTTATATGTAATAAAATAAAACCTGAAACTAGTTTTTAGAAAATAAGATAAAGTGAAAGGTTCCTTATGAACTTTTTCGATATAGTTACGAGGGTCACTATTTATAATTTCAGCCTAATAATGAAAAAATATTAACTTGTTTAAAATTCGTTTATTGTTTCTCGAAGTAATCTCCAGTATTATTAATACATTTTTGCATGCGTTCGATTCATTTGTCAAAGCATTTTTTCCAATCTTCTTCACACACTGCCAAAATATGGTTTTTAAATGCAATAACGGCTTCCTCCGCCGATAAAAATATTGAGCGATGTCCCCGCAATTTATTCTTGGTGTTCGGAAACAAGAAAAAGTCATTGGGTACCAAATCAGGACTGTACCAAATCAGACCCATCAATTCGATGTGCCATTTTTTGTATGTTCAAATAGTCAGTTGTTAGACGAACTGGTTGAGCACTCGCATTGCCTTGATGGAGATTGATCCGACGGGGCTTGTTTATTTTCCGTATTTCACTGAATATTTCCGGTAAACAAATGGTTGTATAAAACCATTTTCGGAATTTGCCGTTTTACGTTCCTGTAATTTTATTCGTGTAGTTGCCAAAAAACAAGCAACCATTTGTTTTTCAGTGCTTCGAGCGCGAACAACTTTTATTGGATTTGGTTCATTTTGAAACACTCATACAGTCCACTCTTGTTTACGTTTCGGCTCATATCCATATATCCATGATTTGTCAACTGTTATAATCTCATCATCATCATTGTAGTTCTTGAGATGAAGTATCCAACGAGAAAAAACCTTTCTCACTGTTAAATGATAGTGTAATATATTATATATGTTGATGGAAGTAATACCTAGGGTTCGTTCATTCTTACAGTATGTAGCATAACGATCTTACATTACTTGTACAGTTTTTGCATAGCAATATTGTTTTTTGGTACAACAACTGATTTTGGACGACCTTCAGGAATTTTGTCAGTGAGCGAACTAGGATCACGATTAAAATCATTGTGTCAGTGTTTCACAGTGGCAAAAAGATGGAGCTTCATCGCCAAATGTGTAAGTAAGTGGATCGATGCACTATTGTCTTG